CATGTTAGTGGGCTCTTTTCTTGAACTACCACTAATCCAAATTTGACACATGTCTAGTGGGTTCTGTTATTGAACTACCACTAATCAGAATTTGACACGTGTCCATTTTATTTAAATTTTTGGAATGACAGGTGTCTAAATGTAAATGAGCCACATGTCTGACGGTAGGGGGCTTTGGCTTGAAATCATTACTTTAATGAATCTTAGCAAAGAATGGTTTAGGGGTAAAACAGAATCAGTTACCCAAATGGTTCGACCGTCTAAGTCAATAGTGGTTCGAAAATTATGGTACAGGCTACAAAGTTGTTGTATTATTTGTTACAGAGTGGATTTAAGGGAGGATCTTTCCTTTCATTTCATACCATGAGTTGGTACATTTAAGCTATGTTTGGTTTGAAGGAAAAGGTAGGGAAAGGAAGGGAAAGACAAGGAAACCACTACAAGGGTTGTAAAGGTTTTCCTACCTTTCCCTTCCTTTCCCTACATTTTCCTTCAAACCAAACATAGCCTTAAAGTAGTGGGAGTGGCACATCGCAGAATGAAACATTTAGACAAAAAGATTTGGTCCCAAGGCTGTGTTTGGAAACGATGCAAATGGAGTGTAAATCCCAATTCAAAGTAAATTTGCACTGTGGTTCAATTTTGCCTGTATTTGGCAACAATGCATTTATGGATTGACAAATGATAGGAAAATTTTCCAATGCATAATTACATCAATAATGAGATGTAAAAGTATATCAATAAAAAAGAAGTAAATTTGCATTCAAATAAGCTTTTGATAAAAAAAAAGGCATATACTTCATTGGAATTCATGTTTGCATCCATTACAGCTAAAAGTCTATTTGGTATGAAGGTAAATTTCTTAGTACAAAACTAACCCAACTTTGCAATTTTATATGGATTATTTTTCACTCAAAGGTAAATTTCTCAGCTAAAAGTCTATTTGCATCCTTTCCAAACGCAGCCCAAATGGTAGTGTAAATCCCACAAACCAAAAGTATGAACACAAGATTCACAATTCCCAAACTAGGAATCACAAGGAACCCAAGTTGTTGAGCTCAAAAGTTAATGAACAATCAGAAGCAAGGTTCAAAATATCGATATGCCCGATACGCCAGTATGGGCGTATCAGGCGAATCGATACTCCTTTTGGTGGTTTTTTTTTTATTTTTTTTGCCAACTAGTTTAGGGGAGCCGATTTAGGTCTTCGCCACACCCTGAACCGGTCAAACCACCGAGACACCCACTGTAGGGGCGTATCGGTGGAGTGCCGGAATGATACGTATTGATCGATACGGGCTGACACATGTCGATACTTTGAACCTTGATCAGAAGAAAAAATAACAATAAGAGGGAAGTAAGAGCACAAATAAAAATACAAAGATCTACATTCAGCTTTATAGCCTATAGAAGAAATCCACTATATGGCTCAGTTTGGAAGGAGTACATATATAAATATATATATATGATTATATGTAGAGTGCAAAACCTTGTATTTTGTATTATTTTATATGTATTTGCACTGGACATATTTGCATTTGTACTCCTTCCAAACTGAGCAATAGTGATTTTTAGAATCATTAACCAAATCGAAGAAGAAATCCACTACTGAAATGGTAGAGTTTGCAATCTCGATGTACACACTACACAACTTCTAACACCAAACCCCAACTGCCAATATATATCAAAAGCACCCTCTCTCATCAATGTGCCTCACACACTCCAACACCATCTCTTTTCTTCTCACCCAATATATAAGATTGCTTGTTGTCCAACATACAAGATTTCTAATTTGTTTGGTTTTTTGGTTTCCAAATAGTCCTAATTGGATGAAATATTGCATTGTTTTTTAATTATCTCTAGGGTAAATTGCTAAAACCTCTCTTGGAGTGTTTGATCATTGTAAAAACCTCCTCAAAGTTTGTTTGGTAATTGCAATTGCCTCCCAAAATTTTCTACCATAGTTGCAAGCAATGATTAAAGTATCGATAGTGGGTATCATATTGGACAACTTGGATATGGATACAGATACACTTGGGAAATGAATGGCTACAGACAAAAAATATAAAAATGCTTGGATATGCTAAGGAAATGCAAGTAAATTCAATAATTATATTAATAACTTCAAGTTTAATGTCAAAATAACTATAAATAACGTATAAATACATTGGAATTGTATATTTTAATGGTATATCTGAAGAAATATATTATTATTGGTATAATGGGATACATAGATATTATACAATTTTATTGATAATGCATCAATTTTTATTTTTATTAAAATTGAAGGCACAAAAAGTATGCAACCATTATATTTGAATTATTATATCAAATATTTTTATTTTACTATTTCAATTTTTAACATCAACAAAAAAAATCAACTAAAAATTAATTTGCAAATGTTTAGTAAAATATAAAATGAAAATGAAAATTTGAAGATGCATATCATATGAAAATTCATAAATTTTAATTACAAAATTAATTATTCATTATTAATATTTTTATTTTATGAATTTTTGTAAATAAAAAATTAATTTTTATTTAAATGTAGATTAGTGGATTTGATAGATTCAATTTATATTATATTTTCAAATATTTTTTAAACAATATTTTATCTTTGTAATAATAAATACATTGTTATTTAATGCAAATTGAAATATTAATTAATAATTTATAAAATAATTATTATAATTTATCTAGTCTACATAAATAATTCTAAGTACTAAAATAATTATTCTATTAACAATATTTTTGTTCGTATAAATATATTGAAATTAAAAATCATTTATATATATATATGTAGGTTTGATAAATTATTTATTTTATTGGTTTATAAAATAATAATGTTGAATATTATTCTTGTTAATTTGTACTTGGAGTTATTGAATATACTATTTGTTCAGATTAAATATAATATTTAATTTTAATAAAAATACTTTATTTCATTTCACGAAATGGAAGACGATTGGTTAATATCCTTGCGCTCTTGGATGTTGTAGCAGTGGCGGTGATTTTGGTATCGTCCACAGGTGACGACGGCCACTGCAACTTCGGAAGGAGCTCTCCTTTTAACGGTGATGGTTGTTGGGGAGAACAACTGTAGAGGCAAAAAACAAGTGATTCTCATGGAGCCGGCTTTGCCTAACTACAGTGGTGTCAGGCAGAGAACATGGGGAAAGTGGGTCGTTGAGATTCGAGAACCGAACAGAGGAAGCCGGTTTTGGCTGGGAACCTTCTCTCCCATTCTCGAAGCTGCTCTTGCTTATGGTGAGGCTACCAAAGCCATGTATGGTCGTTGTGTACATCTCAACTTTCCTGAAAGTTCTGCATCGATGGAATTTTCATACTCGGCTACCACTTCATCCAACTGAAGTTTGCTTAGATGAGGAATTGAAGGTGAATCTCCCAAAGGTAGAACCTAAGCCAGAGCAGTGTGAATCGGGGATTGACAGTCAGCCTTGTACTGCAGTGGAAGCAGCTGCGCCAGCACCAATGAATATAGTTAAGCAAGAGCCGAAGGAAGAGCAGCCTATAGAACCCATGAATCCTGATCAGTTCAGAGGGTACGGAATCACCCAAGAACCAATAGATTCTGGTCACTTGACTCGGTTTAGTGAGAGTGGATGCAATCATTTTAATGATGTGCAGAACTTTTCATTGGAATAACTGTTTAATATGGAGGAGCTATTGGGGATGCTGGGTCCAAATACTCCTGGGCCAGGATTGAAGAATGAGTACGATCAATTAGGTGGCTCTGATCAATTGCAGTGTGGTAGTCCATTGGATTTATCGTATCAGCTGGTGAATCCCATTGAGCTAGAGGGAGATGATGAGTATGGGCTATACTTGTATGACGAGCAAGGATTGCTTCAATTGGGTTTTCCTGATTTGTGGTTTTAAGTAGTTTCTTGGAGGACTGAACTGATTCTAAGGGAGTAAGGGGGGACTTTGCTTCAGCTTCTGATCTGTACTGAGTCCAGGTGTATATATTTTCTTTTTGGATCTTCTGCAAACTGTTGGAGCTGAGGGATGTAAGCCGACTGAGCTTGTTGGGGTGTAAGCACGAATGCGCACAGAGCTTATTGTCTATGGTAGCGGAACAGACGGACGTCGTGAGACGACAACGCGATATCAGAGAGATTGAAGTCTTGCAGAAGTCTATGGTATCCCACTTCATTATTGGTAATCCCAGGACTTATTCTTCGACGGCAACGCGAAGCGGAAGAGACGAACGGCGTGAGAGATTGAAGTCTTGCAAATGAGCTTGCATGGAATTTTTTCACGCGGTATCAGAGAGCGAGAAAATCTGGCGAAACCGACGGCTTCTACAAAGCCGTGCTCTCCATGCCGGAAGCGACAGAAATAGGGCTGAGCCCATTACCAGTTTGTTCTCTACCCGTGAATGGCTGACTTCCTTCTCTGCCCATGAATCTGAGGCAAGAACTGCTGCATTTCCCGGAAAACTCCACTTACCCATTGGCTCTTTAGCTTCCACCAAATCTGCCATTGCTCTGACCTTGGGCGAGGTGTAGGATGAACAACCACTCCATAACAAAGAGGCACGGATTTCTTTTTCAAGCAAAGTTTTGAAAAAATTGGAAATCAAGGGTTTTTATTTTGAAAATTTGATAAATAATGAAAGGCAAATTGGACATTTCATTTCCTTCCCTTAGCACTTAAGGGTACTATAAGATAATATCTATACAATAAGAGCACAGTTTGTCAATTTTGTGAACAGTAGGGGTAGTTTAAGAGATTTATCCTAGTTTTTACCAAGATGTTTATTTTCCAATTTTTCTCTTCATAAAAATGGCTACATCAAACCATTTCAATCTCTTTTCTGAAATTGATTTAATTTCCAAATTCGCCCTTAATATCAATCACTCAAAGGTAAATTCACAACTTTAAATGCTCTTTTTTGTTGGTCATAAAGTTTGCATTGTTTTTTTTCTGTAGAAAATAGCCATGCAGTTAGTTTTTACCAAGATGTTTATTTTCCAATTTTTCTCTTCATAAAAACCGCTACCTCAAAGCATTCCAATCTCTTTTCTGAAATTGATTTAATTTCCAAATTTACCCTTAATATCAATTGCTCAAAGGTAAATCCACTAAAATCCATGTGAATGGGTATTTTCAACATTTTCAAATCTCTTATTAGATGATTCTAATAGAGGGGATCTACTTGCAATTCTGTGAAAAAGTTTAAGGAAGTGATTGCAATTACTAAACTTCAGGAGAGGTTTTAGCAACAGTCAGAAAACTTCAGGGAAGCTTTCAACAATTTACCCTTATCTTTAAAGTAATGTTTGGAACTGATGTAGTGCTCCAGCACTATTTTCTAATAAAACAGTGCTGCACTGGTATATGCATCTTTCTCAAAAAATGGCATTTTTTTGTTTGGGGATCGTTGCTGCCACCTAGGTGTTTTTCAATGCCACATCAGAAAACCATTTGTACAAAAACAAGAAAATGCCAAAATTGGAATTTTCTTATACCACATTTCCCTACTTCCAAACTGTAATCTGAGAAAACATTTTTTCAAAAAAAAAAAAAAACACAACCAGAAAGGCATCACTTTCCCCAACACCGAATCTTTTCTACATGGCACCATTTTTTGAGAAAATGGCATCAGTTTCAAACATGCTCTAAAAGAGTGTACATATTAACCTCTCTCTGTCTCTCTCCAACCTTTTAAAAACTGACCAAAAAATGGAACCACTTTTATCTCCTGTTTTCATGTTAGTAGTTCAACTGTCTAGAAGGTGGACTGTCCTGACTCATAATGTCATAAATAAAATAATAAAAATATAAAATTTTTGAAAATACATTATAAAATTTGAAAATTAGATGAGCAACCAGGTACTCAAAGAAACAAAAAGCAACGACAAATCATGACGCATAAACCCTTTGAAAGAAAATTCTCTTTATCAACTAATTCAAAGTGAACATGAAGGTTACTAGAGAATATCTTTGATCACAAACCAAGAATTGGGCTCTAGTCAAACTTCAAACTTCGAAGAGTTTAATTATCATTTTCTATTACCATACAGACTAAATCAAAAGATATAATCAGTTCTATCTGTTTTTACTGCAACTACTTCTGCATGTTGAGGAGATATTAGCTAAATTAAGACCATATTTATAAATAAATAAATAACATATATATATATATGTATTATATATATTTATATAAATAAATATATAACATATTGGATCAGATCGAATCATGATCTGATCCATTTGCATTGACGATGCTCCATCTGTGTAATTTGTGCTAGATGTGGAGGATTGTTTATATAAACCTGAGAAATTTGAGATAGAATCTTCTGAGGATTTGACTTGGTTCTACAATATATAATGCCATTCCTAGCATCCCAGGTTAATCTTAGTATTATCATTAAAATGGCCCAATGATGATGTTGTGTTTCTTTTGTCAGCTTATCAATTTTATTATCCATTCATTGCTTAACCGTCTTGATGAATCAGCTACAAGAAAATCGGCCTAAGCCGGCAGTCCCATATAGGCCTTAAGACCGCCGGTTTGATCTAAGGAGGCGGTCTTCAGTCCAACCCCTGAATCTCTGCCAGCTTAGGTTAAGACCGCCACCTTAGGTCAGTTAATATATTTTTCCTGCTTTTTAGGTGGCGGTCTAGACTGCCGGCTTAGATCCCTTTAGACTGCCACCTTAGGTTGGTTAATATGTTTTTCTTTTTTGCTTTTTAGGTGGTGGTCTGGACCACCGGCTTAGATCTTTTTTATGTCTAAGGCAGCGGATGTATGGCCGCCACCTTTGTTTTTTATTTTTAATTATTTACATGAATTTGATTTCAGCATTTTTTTTATACCTGTTTAATACAAATATCATGGCAGATAATACATAGAAATCAATTTAAACAAAAAATGCAAATAAAATTTTAATTAAATATTAATTATTATAATATTCAAAACAAATTGCTTAAATACAATATCCAATTGACATAATGGTTAAATACAATATCCAAAACACTTCTTCCAATGCAAATTCACTTGACATAATGGTTTAACCTGCAAATCATAACATATAAATTGTTAGATGATGTAAAGTAAATGAGAGATCAAATATAATTCTTAATGAAATCACTATAGGAATGAATTAATCATTTATAGCAGCTTATCCTTCAAATAAGTTTAGGGATTTGGGGAAATTTAATGTAGGGGGTGAACACATGAATGCCCCTTCTTCAATGCCCAAGTTTGAATACATGATAACAGAAAAACTAATAACTAATCAACCAATATTATAAAGCGGTAACCAATCAAGTGGTATGATACTAGTATAATAATAAACAAGCCTTTAAAGGTGTAATCGTTTGTTTTTCTTGGTATAGTGTGTACTTGGGGCTACCCAATGGGGGTAACCCATCCACATACCCTACTCTTAACCCCACAACCCTGATGGCAGGGAGATTTGATTCCAAGTCTCTGCTATAAACAGCCAGAGCCCACCAACTGAGCCACCATCAGTTGGTTTCACAAGGTGTAATTAATAAGGCAACATACTACTATTCATCTCACAATCTGTTAGATAATATATTAACTTCATTAATAGATACGTATTAGCATATTATATAAAAATTTTATTGGATTTGGTTTGGAGTGGATCCATATTTAATCAAGTTAATCATCATCATCATCTGAGCTTTGTGCCAGGTATATGGGATCAGTCAACATGAATCCTGTTTCATCATTCTGTTCTGTTCAGCGTCATTTGCATTGGTTTGGTCCAATTATACAAATAGATCAATTTTGAATTTAACTGGACAGAACAAATTGACACTTCTGACCCTACAAAGCCAATCCTAGGTCCATAGTGAGTCTGTGCACAAGGACGCCTGTATAATTATTAGATATTTTTTGGAGTTTTTATTTCTGCTTACTAATTTCTTTCTCAATATTCTCCTTTAAAATCCTGTAATTTCTACAAGATAAGGGCACCAAAAGTGTACAAAAGATTCAAAGTTTTAGAGTGCAGGATGGTGGTTCCTTGGAGAATCAGCACACATTTGGCAAGAAAAGTATTATTACTGTCTAGTTTGTCACCTATTGTGCTGTAACTGAAGCAAATTTCTGAAATTAATTAGCAATGCAACACTACAAGAAAAATGGTTAAGCAAACAAATATTTTGTAGTACTAAATTTTCAACTACTACAAATTCATAATTCATGTCCAAATTGTGTGAACAGAAGGCTCCAAATGAGGAGAGGGAAGACCAAAGAAAACGTGATCTAAGGTAGTAAGAAATGATCTGACTTAAAGTTTGACAGAAAATAAGGCCTTTGATAGCATAAAATGGGACAGAATTTATGTAGCCAGACCCGTATAGTTGGTATTAATGCTGAAATGAGTTGATATGTATAAGTGATAGTTGGATATAAGCACAAACATTTGAAGTGACTTTGATCTGAAATATAATCTCCAATCTTTAGAGGGAGGCAACTCAACTCAATGTTAATCCCAACTATTTGGAGTTAGCTACATGGATCCCGTCCTGCCATTGTGCTCACTCAAGGAAGGCAATAAGCAATTTTCTGTATGTAGACTCATGACCAGGCACACAATCTTCTAGGGACATCCCTATGGTCTTTGACGCATTGCCCAGCCTTCTCTAACATGTGGACTGTTGCAACAATCTTCCAGGGGCTGCTATTGTATCAGTCCAGATGATTCTTACAGTGTTTTAAAAGCACAAAGACCAATTTGCGCCTGAGGCGCAAGGCGAGGCGTGCACCTTTTTAAGAAAGGCGCAAAATTACAAAAAAAAAAGCTAAAAAATAAAAAAAGTCAGAAAATTCCAAAAAAATGCGAAAAATATTAAACATAATGTTAATAAATGTTAGAGTGAGCTGAATAGGAGTAGTTTAGTAATCTCATGTCAGTTAAGTACTTTGCTTATGTGGCTGTTTTATTAGAGTACTCTGCCCCACACTTAAGTGAGGGCAGTTTAGCCTTTGTAAGTGTAATTAGAACCTAATAAACATTAGGGGGTCGACTGAATGAGAGACTAATAAGTTTCGACTAAACCCTCATGTTCTCTCTTTCTCTTGTCTTCTTCCTCGTCTTCTTCACTGGTTCGGGTTATTGTAGCTGCTTCAAAACATGGTATAGGAGCGAGGTTTCTGACCTGCTTCTGCTTGTAAAGCATCTCAGCTGTGTTCATGACACCTTCTTCTTCGTTCTGGTTAGTTAATGGAGAGAGCTGGTTCGCCCTAGGTCTGAGACATCACAACTCGTTGTTCTTTGCTGCGCACAGTTTTCTTCATCAAGGAAGGTGATTGCAGCAGTGAATGGTTGGTTGATACTCTCAAAGGAAGGTTGGTTATTTAGTCCTTTTGTGTTGCTGGTATTTCTTGGTAGGAACCCATCAAGAATCAGTTAGTACTGATTAGAACCTAGAGAACTAGGTTCATTGTTGCCCTAGGAAGGGTTGTGTGTGCAGTAGCCGAACGGTGTAGGGCTGCTGTGAGTTGTTGAGTGGTGTTAGCGCTGCTGTAGGTGGTCGAGTGGTGTAAGGTGGAATGCAGTGACCTTGCCAAGCTCCTCGTGGTTGTGCAATGCCCTCTTATGTGTGTTAAACAAGTCTGAACTAGGTGTAGCAGTTTGACTGTGTTGTGGTACTTGTGATGCACAATTTTTTTTTTTTATTGAGTGGTTGTAAGAGGGCCTACTGTTGTGTTGTGGTGCTTGTGATGCTTATGTGGGTCGTAGGTGTGTGAAGTCAGCAGTAGTGTGAAGAAGAATAAGTGTGTGCTCCCACTCCTGTGTTTAGGGGCTACAATAGGTGTTGAAGTATCAAACTATGAACAACATCAATCAGCTTGTAGCTGAGAAGTAAGGTTAGAGGCAACTGTGAAAGAGTACAATGGCAGCAATAGGAGATTGCTACAATGATCAGAAACCTAGTGTGGTAATTTCCTCCGACTACCTAGGGGTACAAATGACCTCAATTAAGCTGAATGG